CATGTTCACTGGAGAAGAATATGCTTTTAGGATGTAAATGTCAGGTAAATCCATCTGAAGTAGAACTTTGTTTCTTGTCAATTTTCTATCTCTTTGTGTCGGTGGTGGTTAAAGTCTCTGACATTTGTATTTTTGTTGATAGATTGGCTTAGGTCTGTTAATAGTTGTTCTGTATAACTAGAGCACAAATATGGAGCACAATTATTAGTGAGCTATTTCTTCTTGGTAAGTTGTTCCCTTAATCATCATATAGTGTCCATGTTAGTCCTATTTTAGTTGAACATCTAGCTTATTAGATATGAGACTTTAAGTTCCTGATGTACTTTGTTATTAGCATGCCTGATCTGTTCTAGCCTATTATTTTTAGTTTGTTTTAATCTTTTGGTTTTAAATTTGTTCTCTTATAAACAGAGTATTGAAAGCTGGAATTTTTTCATGCCAATTGTTAGCCTATTGGTGAATTCTGACCATACACATTTAGGCTGATTATTAACTTGAACTGTTTATTATCAGTCATGCTGTCCTTGATTTGAGAGAATTATGCATGAGACTTCAGTCAAAATAAATCCAAAAAGAGTGGAATGAACAGACTGGAAGTCATTTCTAATGAGGCAGCATTTGAGCTACATCTTTTTAAATAAGTATGGAGGAGTTTAGATGGGAAGGAAAGAAGCTTCCTCTGGTCAAAAGGAATAGTTTGGAGAAATTGTTAGCTTTAGAGATGTGAATCCTTATTGGCCCACAATTTATCATTATGGATAAAATCCATGAGGGACACCCATGTGGAAAATCTAACCTTAACATTCAGCAACCTGGATTTAACTTCTACAGTGGACTTAGCAGCCCATTTTCACCATCATGGACTGGACCTTATTCATACTTCCTTCTTCTCTCAACAAATCTTTACTGAATGTGCACCTGATGTAAGGTAGTCTTTTGGCCCTCAGGTGTGCAAGAACCAATAATATTCCTGCTCTTTGATTCACACACAAGTCAGGAGAAACCCACAAGGAACAAGAAAAACTGGAAAATAGAGTGATAAATGCTGCACACAGAAGGAAAGAGACTAGGTGTCAGGGAGTGTCAGGTGGGTGGAGGCTAGATTGCATGGTTAGGGAGGGCCCCATCTGTCATCATTTCTGGAAGGGACCAGCTATATACTGATCAGAGTGAAAGTATTTTCATATATGGACAGAACTACTATAAAGTTCATAAGAGATAAATGAGGCACCCAAGAAGAAGGCCGTGTGGGTAGAGCTGGTGGCTAGGAGGAATGTGGTACTAGACTAACTCAGAGAGGGAAGAAGGAGCTAGAGTGAGCTCCTAGAATAGAAAGTTCAGGTTTCATTGTAAATGCATCAGGAAGCCTTCACAGGTAGTATGTAGAATGGCATGTTCTGTTTTATGGCTTTGAAAGGTTTTTCTAGCTCCCAGGTAGTAGAGAAGAAATCACGGTGTGGAAGTGCAGTAGCCTGGAAGACAGCAGCGTGGAGGCATGTGAGGCCATGGCAGCCTGATGAAGGTGGGCATCGGACACATTGAAAGGTGCGCGTGTTTGGGATATGTTTTGGAGGTGAAATGAATAAGCCTTGCTGAGTTTTATTTTTGGAAGGCAGGCAGATGGTGGTGCAGTTTCCTGAGATGGACAGAAATGGCTGACTTGCTTGAGTGAAATGAGTTTGGGTCAGGTGTGAGTGTGCAACACACAAAGGGAGATGTCAAGCAGGCAGACTGGGGCCCAGGCAGGTCAGATGCAACTCCCACATCTGAGTGAGGTATGTGCATTCCTGAAGCTCATCCCTGACTCAGACTGGGGGGCACAGGGTTAAGGAGGATTAAAGGAGAGGTCAGCAAACCCAGGATAACCATTCCTAAGTGTGACCCACAACAGAAACAAGTGATGCTGTGTTTTCAAAGTGATCTTTAATTTCCTATCAAGAACAAGTTCCAGAAATTTACTCTGAAGATCTTGTCATATTTTAATACTCGTTTGTTGAAAAAAAATTGGAAATCAAATCAGTGGGTGAAGGAAATGTAGCTCTTCTTTTGATCAGAATAAAACGCAAGCCAGTCTATCAAATCTGTATTCACTGCTGATGTTTTGTAGATCCCCTATTTTATTGACAATTCATGATACCTGTCTCTTATTTTTTTCCTCAAGTACATCTACAGTTTTTGGATTCTGGCTGGTCTATTTATGCTTTTACATTCAAATCTTCCTTTTATCCAGTTGCATTTTATTTTAGTGTAAAGTGGGAAAATCTAAATTTATTTCACTCCAAATCTAAACTATCTCAAAACACCATATAAACCTAAGCTTTTCTCATGGGTATGGCATACCATATGCTAATTTTCAAAGTGCATTTTGAGGTCTGTTTCTGGAATTCCGTTATTTTCCCACTGATCTTATTTTTTATGCAGATTATGTTTTTAAATCAAATGCAAACTGTACATATAGTAGAAGAATTTCCATGTTACATATTCCCTGTGCATTTGCAGTGAAACCTACTTTGCTAGTGTGCTTGAGGTTCTTGCATATTACATGTCAGTTTCTGTATCTACTCAGCTAGGATAGCAATGAAAAGGTAAACTTAAACTACCTTCTCTGCTTCATCTTCTGTCAATATTTCCAGGCAAACATGTTTTTTTAGAAAATATTACTTTTATAGATCTAAATATGATGTATATGTGTAAATGTGGCTGAAATAAAAATTCCAGTTGCTAAGTTTGAAACTTGAAAAAACATATTAAAGTTTACCTAGGAGAAGAAAAATATGGGGGAAAAACAACCATTTTTGTGAGCGTTGTGATGGAAGAGAACTTTGATTGCCAGATGTCAGACATAACAGGAAATAAATATTTTTTCAGCTTCATTGGCAACATACACAAGAAACTTTATAGTGTATGAACGATCATCGAGTGTCGTTGAACCTTAACTTCTGTGCAGGAGGAGCAGGCCCTGCTGCTGCAGCTGTGTGATAGGAAAACCTTCCAGCCTAGTCACCAAGATGAAGCAGCTTGCCCCGAATGTAAATGGCCATGCTGCTTCCTTCGTCAGGGAGTGTAACCTTCAAGAGTCATTTGAGCTACAGAGTAGCATACAGTGGTAGAGAGCGGGTTCCAGAGAACTGCTGTGCTGGTGGCATGGGAAGCTGAGAATGTGCCCAAGACTCTGGCTCCCAAGGAGAAGGTCTGTGCAGAAAAGTCTGAAAGTACAAATCTTAGTGCACCTAAACCTGACTTGCTTATTGGTCATATACATCTGGCGTTTCTAAAGGTCACAATCCTTCCTATAAGAAAGACCAGAAGAAAGCACAGTAATTCAACATACTCACAGTCAAATTCATCCCCCCTTTCCCCAAACCTGTCCTCCTTCCCTCTTGATAATCTTAACACCACCCACCTGGTTACTGAGCCGGACAGGTGAAGACTAGCTTTCATGAAGCCTCACCTTCACTTGATATGCAGTTGTCATCCTGGTTAACGTTGACTTGACTTCCTGACCCCCTCCCTGACCTCCCCAAGGCCCTAATTGTGTCTCCCTTGTCTTACTCTTAGCCTCCAGCCTTGCATACCTCACTCTTCCTAAGTGCTCTACTCATCTGTTGGCCACCAGAATATTCTTTTCAAATACAGATTTCTTCATGCTACTCTCAAATTAATTGTCTCATGGAAGAATTTTTTTTTAACCCCACAGGAGAAATGCTAGTCCTTACAGATTGGCATTGGGGTGATTCACCACAACCAAGCCACGTGCTGCAGCTTCAGCTGCGCCCCAACCCTCTCTGTCTACATGGGGTGCTTGCCACCCTGGCTTTTGCTTCATGCCTTTCTGCCCTCACACACTTGGAATTTATTCCCACCCTTTTTGGGAAAGACTGAACTATCTTTCAAGATTTAAGTCAAAGTTCACCAGTACTAGGTAGTATTTCCTGACTTCACACTCCTCCTCTTCCTACAGAATTGGCTGTTCCTCTTTTACCCCTGTTGTGAACCTCTTCCCGTTCACTGTAGCACCCACAAAACTGTATCAGACCTATTTGTTTACCTACTTCCCTAAAAAACTACAAGCTCCTTGTAGTTCTTTTCCTCTTATAATTCCTAGTATGTAACAATGCCTGAATAATTTAGGCACTCTATACAAACTGTTGAATGAATCAGTGATTGAGAAGCTTCAGAGGCCTGCAGAAACAAATGGCTAGCAGAGCATTCAGTACGATTGAAACAGGTTAAGAGGAAGTTGGTAAATCGAGGTCAAGTGGAATTTGCTGGATATCATGCAGTCTGCAAATATTAGCAATATTAGCACACACCCCACACTTTATAATAACAGTACTACATTTATGTATTGTTTTCAGGACACTGAATTCTTTATTTTATTTGACCCTTAGAAAAGTTATCTCCCTCCATACTTGTGAAATTAAGATAATTGCTATTTCTTTAGGATTGTTTACAAGATTTATTCTATGACTGATGTAAGATCACAGTGGTACTTATTGGCAGGCTTAGATATAATTATAGCTCAGATTTCTTCCTGTTGTGGGATTATTTTGACCAGAGTATAATGAGGTAGTAAAATATCTTCCCAACTTTCATTTCCTTAAGATGCTTACTCAGAAGCAGGCTCTGGAATTATTCTATCAGAGATCTGATTGCCAAAATCAAGCAAGACCTAAAACTTTGTTGAAACTAAAATGTAAATGCAAATACTATATTTATAGCTTCATTGCTCCCTAGCGTCTCTTTTTTACATTGGAGGATTTTCAGCAGAGAGTCCCAGAATACTTGCTCCTACTCTTGGGAAGTTCTGTGGAGATGTGCTGTCACTTTAATTGCATTTGAAGAAACTACTGTCAAGTTTTTCACCAGAGGAGTGCCAACTTGGGATGCTCGAATTATGATAGCAGGCATCTGGGGTGGGAAGTGGAACAGAAAGAGAATGGACCTGGGCTGAAGCCACTACTGACCTTCACACTCCTGTGTCCTTGTGTTTTCTGTAGTGCTCTGTCCAGGAAGACCCTGACACCATAACATTTGAACTGGAAATGAAACTGCTAAGTGATAGAATTTCAGCAGGTATCTTCTAAATTGTACTTTAAAATTTATTACAACCTTCTGCTTGCAAAAGAAATGTAGGGGTGTTGTAAAAGAAACTTCAAATGCTGAAAAACATATTTAAAAGGAACATTTTTCATAGTCCTTGCTCTGAGGTCACTACTGTTAACCAGTACTTTTTATTTGTATGGACTATGTCTCATGATTTTTAATAAAATCATAGGATCAATCACATGATACATTTTTTTGTTGTTGAAAACTGGTTCTTTACCTAACAGCATTTGTTATTCATTCTAGACATGTCTGTGTTTTCTACATAAATTAATAATCAACATTTTTTCTAAGTAAGAACACATTGGTAACTTTGCTTTTTTAATCACTATATAATTCCATCCAATAAATGCACTGTGCGCTGTGTAAATCCCTATTATAAACATAACTCGAATGTTTTGTTACAAACAATGATGCAATGAACATTTGTGAGCACACATACATGTTTGGAAACTTCTTAACATGTCTATGTTCGACCTTGTTCTGAAAAACAGCAGCTGGATATACAGTTGATCCTAGAGCCTCCGGGTTTGGACTGTGAGGGTCCACTCAGACACGGACTTTCTCATAAGCAGATGCTGTAAACTTAGGGCAGCAGTAAAGGCTTTTTTTTTTCCTTATGATTTTCTTAATGTTCATTGTGACTTTTTTGTAAGAATACAGTTGATAATTTGCAAATGCATGTTAATCTCAACTTACTGGTAAGGCTTCTGGTCAAAGCAGCATGTCAGTAGTTAAGTTTGAGGGGGGTCAAGAGTCATATTGCAGCTTTAACTGCACTGGAATCAGCACCCCTTTACCTCCAGTAAGGGGCAACTATAGTTTAAAATATCAACATAATAGTGATGTCTAATTTGTAGATTTTAATTTGAGATTATATACATCTTTCCCATTAACCTTAATGTTCTCTTCTTTCACTTTTGAATTCCCTAAGGAATCTTTCCTAGTTACTTATTAGAAATCTTTTTCTATATATTTCATAGCATATTTTTTAACAGCAGGATCCTTGTCTACTTCTTCACTTTCCCAACATACTTTAGTTTCAGCACTAACCAAGGTTTGTAACTTTACAATTTTCCTGCATCCCTTATGATGTAATTTTACTGTTAGAAATAAGATACGTAAGAAACAAGTTAGTTTATGAACCTCTCTCAGTAAAACCAAATTTCTTGGCATGGTGATCCCCAAATAATATCTTAAATGTGCAAATTTGGACACAGTGGTTCTTCATACTTTTTTTCAGGTAAATACATTTTTAATTAGAGACATGAAATTTAAAGTCTACATTTTATTGAATGTATAAGAAGGAAAAATTGCTTAGCTGGTATTTTCTCTGGTCATTTTTTAATTAGTTTTTAAGTGTCTTATCTTCATGGGTTAAATTCAGAACCATCTTTTTTTTATGGGGGAGGGTAAAAATAATACGCGATGCCACAAGTCCTGAGTTGTCATTGTCTGGTGCCATCTTAATTCTTCACAAATCCCACAAACTGTCAGAGCGCAGCTCCTGCGGTGCCAATTCAGAGGAGGAAGGAGCTGAGGGGATGAGGGGATGAAATCTCTTTAAGTGCGCTGCTACCCCCACTCCCTGCACTGTACAGAAAGGGTCTAGTAAGTGGTGACTGTTCCAGAGCCGTGTGGCGTCAGCCCTTCCTCTGACTGTGCACTGATAAGTCATGGGATAATCATTCATAATTCATGGGATCATAAAATCTCCCCAAAAGTTCCTGAGCAAAGATTATCCAGTCCAATTTCTATACTGTCAGGCCTCTAACCCTGTTTTTGTGGGCAAAAAAAAAAAACAAACCCTTTAATTTCATATTTGGGCCAGAATAATCAAATGTTGTTTTAAACCATTTTGGGATCTTTTCAATTGAAAGGAAGCAAATTATGCTCTCTTAGAATTTTTAGCGGAAAGTCACTGGAAAGAACACAGATGCAAGACTCCCTTCCCTCATCCTTTTGTGTAAAGGCTGGATGTGACTTTCCAGGTTTAGAGCCTGTCAGCTTGGAGTGGGCACAAGGGAATCCCGTGCCCGGCTGTAGCATCTGACTGGAGCTCCCCTCAAGGAAGCCGAGCAGTCCTTGTCCTGTTGTTTGTCCTATTATTGCTACACAAATTTACTGGCTCTGCTGATGGTATACACTCCAGGGTTCTAAGACACCTCTTTAGTGAACTGCAGTTGGTTTTGCTATAATTAACCTGCTTTTATTTCATAGATCTCTGCCAAGACCTCAGAAAGGAAGAGGGAAAGGAGGAGGGAAACATAATTTTCCTGCCCTACAATGTAAAGTTTTTATTTTCTTAGTAATACATTCAGATTGTATGTAAATTTTCGAAAGCTTAGTGTATTATATAAATGAAGCTCTTCCATGTATACTTAATATCCTTATCTTCATTTCCCAGATTAACCTCATGAATAGTTTTGAATTAGCCTTTTTTCAAAAAGTTTTAGTAGCTAGTTAAATAAAAAACTTACCAGCGAGAGAACTTTGAAATTTTCCCTCTTAAGAAAGTGCAAAAACGTTAAGACTTTTTAAAACTAAAACAATTCTGATTTATTTTAGCACATCTGTCGCTGATCGAGAATGTGCAGGAAAAGCCGTGTGTGTTTGACGACAACGAGGTTGACTTATGCCAGTTCGCGACACTGGGTGGGGTGTACCACTTGGATATTTTCGAGCTTCCCCCACAGTGTAAACCAATGAAGGGCTGGCTCATTGTGGAAGTAGGTTGATTCCTGAATCAAAATTTCAGTAAAATAATTTCTCATGCTTTTTTTAATGCCAAATTACCTAAGAGATAATGCTCTTGAGCCCTATTAAGCACAAGAGGAAAAAAATTGTCATTTTTCGCTGTCTTGAATTATAGGTACTGAAAAGATTCTAAGGAGAAGGGAATCCAAAATAATGTGAATTTTTAACCGAAATCCATACATGTTAATTGTAAACCTAGAACACTACGTCTAGTATGTACTCATGTGACACTAATGATAATTTGCATCAGAGGATGGCAAGCTTTTACATAAGAGACAGGATGCTTCATCTTTTGAGCTTTGTGGGCCACCCCAGCTTTGCTGCTGCTCGTCACACTGCCCTGCATGCTGACACACTCGTGTGGGCAGGGAGCGGCACGGCCGTGCTGTAGTGAAGCTACTTCAAAAACTGGTATTAGCGGTCATCCTCCAGCAGCCACTTGTCGACTGGTTCCCAACATTTTCTGAGCATTTGGTCCTTGACCAGAATTGTTGTTATCATTGGGGGACATCCTACTTTAGTGGGTGTCTGGGGTTCATTAGAAGTTTTAGAGGTGAGACTCAGCGACCTGTGTTTTAGTCAGACTCATCCTGAGGTGTTTGTGCCCCTGGGCTGAATACTTGAGCTGCAGTGTGTGCTCTCTGGACCATCAGCAGCACATGCTGGTTAGAAAGGCATGACTGTGTTCACCTCAGACCTCCTGCCTCTGCGTTTCCACAGGACCCTCAGGTGCTGCACAGGCACATGAAGGTTCCAGGTGCCTCGATCCAAGTAGCCAGTGCTGCTCGCTCATAGAGGCACCACACTTGGAGCTGTGGGGTATTGATGACAGTGTTCTTTGATCTTCTTGGAAGGAGCTTCTCACTCCTGTCTGTTAAGCGATAGCACTTGCACTGTTGACTTGATTAATTTTAACTTCACAGTGCTTGTGTGCTACATACATCCGCTTAGGTTGGCCTACCTCCTTCCACTTTCCTATTTCCTCCTTTCTCCCCTTCCCTTCTTTTTCTGTCTCATTTTTGTCTCTCCCCTCACACCCCCCACTCACTTCTGCCCCTCCCCAAATATATTATGCAAACAGATTATGGTCATTTCTTACCCATAGTTCCACTCATGAAGGACCTCAGTACATCACTGATTAAAGCAGCACCTATCAACATCTTCCATTATTGACCCCTAAGGAGCCTTTGTAGACATCCCTCCCCCAAGACTCTTCATGAAATGTTAGTATTGCAGATGTACTGTATCATTGTGTACTTGCTAGATCAGTATCTGTGCTTTATATGTAACCAAATACAATCTCCCCAATTAGTTTTCCCCCTTTGAGGGTGTTAGGGCAACTCTTTGCTGCTTCTTCCCAACCACTTAGAAGGCACCTCGTGGAGCAAGTGTGAGGGTGATAATTTGGTTTAAGCCACTTTGAGGAATCTATTAGAATCAGCTTTTCATATTTCTGAATACTTGAAAGATAGTTAGTCTAAAAAAACATCCCTTTGGTGAAGGCAGGACTTTGCAAATCTTTATCCACAGGAAGGTCCCAAACTGAGCTAAGGGTTTCAAGGATTCATCTAAAATCTAGCAATACACTCAAATTTTGTCAGAATATTATAGTATCACAGCTTTATGTTCTCTGAGTCCAGATTACTTCTCACCTATTTTTGTCTGCTGTAACAAAGAGTTCTCCTTTTTAGTTTCTTTGTAAATCTCTCTTCAGTAACCTCCCATCTTCATAAGAATTCTCCATTCTCCCCTTTCTGAGAGTTTAAACCTTCCCTAGATCCTTCTGCTGAATTCAAACATTGTGCCAGTTTTCTTTACCCAGAGAGAGCTGCTGGTGGCTTCGTCTGCCTTCTTCCTGTCCCCCAGCTTTATTGAGCTATAACTAACATATAACGCTGCATAAGCTTAAGGTGTGTGATGTGTTTCTATGCCTTGGAGAATTGGTTGGAGGAATAAAATGATGAGTAAAACCTCGCCCATAACAGAATACTGTAATGACATTTGAAATTAGCAGTTTTTCCCCTTCAATCATCAATTAAGTTTCATTGTGACATTTTATTAGTCAACCTGTAGTTAAATGGGCCCAAATTGCAGTATGGCTTAGAAATAACTGTGTCGCTTGCTCATTGACACTGACATCTTCAACTGTTACCAGTTTCTAACTTGGTGTTATTTGGATCATTTTTAAAAGATACTCAAAGAAGGATTACATAAATACATATATCCTCCAGAAACTGCAGACGACTTGGAAGCAGAAAATGCCTTCCCACCCATAGAAGTCACACTGCAGGTTCATGAGAATGTGCTATTTTTTGAGGAACCTGTGGTCGCCAGGTGGGATGCTGAAGGTATGTCATTGCAGTAACCTGCTTTGGTAATCTGTAGTCAGAAAGGTGTGATAATGCAAGTCTTTACTAGCTAAACAATGTGGACACTGAGTTTCTAAATTACACATTTCCATGCCAGTTATAGAGCCTTGGATTTGTTTGCTCTTGATGAAAATTAATAGGCTTTGGAGCTTAAAAATGTTTGAATTTAGAACTACTGCTAAAGTGTTTACATCTGCCATAGCTTCTGGATGACTATTTTGGATAGTGTCATTAAATTTATTAAAAGTAAAGAAATGAACAAAAATATTACTACAGTATGACATGTCAAAAATCAATGAACAAATGAAAAGCCTAAAAATAATCAAATACTTCAGATGGGGTAATTATAAAATAATTATTTCCGTAAGTTGCAAATCTTACTATAAATAAGTGTGGGGTTTGGGGAATGGATAAATGGGAAATCTAAGCCATAGATAATTGTTGCTGACTCAAAATTTAAGTAAATGTTAGTAAAATCAGAAATACTAACAGATACAAGATAATGATTCAGTAATCATTAACAAATAATCTCATTTTAGGCAGACTAGTCTTGGTCATGTGAATTAATGGATGCAGTTTTAAGGCTCCTGAAGAAATCTATTTAGTTTTGTTACTTTATTACTTTATACATCTATATATTTGTGAGCAAACTAAAACACTGGGTGGTGGGTTGGGGACAGATTAGATCGCTATTCATTTAGATATGGGGCAGAGAATTTAAATTTCACTTCTAAGTACAAACTTATTTATAGCTGCTATAGTGTTCCACATTTTTGCTTGTGCAGACATGTCAGCAGACAATTTACATTCTAGAAATGGAGTTAAATGTTAAAAACAGTGTTTTTCTAACCATCCTTTATAGAATGAACAGTGAGGTAATTTCTTCCTTTCAGCTGGTTTTAACGACCAGCCTTTCCTTTAATAATGGTTAGTTCCCAAATAGTATTAATTAAAACTAATTCATACTGAGTCAGTGTTACACAAGATAAGTTATTTCATGTGATTCAGGGAAATATAACTTGTGTAAAATTTTAAGTGCAATAATTGTACAGCACTGAAGGGGCTCAGGATGAGTCTCCCCCAAATAAGCCATTTTGGTTTGTGGATTATGCTGAGAGAAAGGTAATCAAGTCCCAAGCCTCTGAGAGAGCTCTTCCTCTCCCTCTTAACTAGTAGAATTTCAATAGGGGGCCTACTGCTGGAAGGAGCTATCCCCAGGCTTAGGGGGGGTCAACTGGAAGAAATTAGTGAGGTCTGTTTATTCAAAGCCCCACAGTGTCCTTTGACTCTGGCATGGCAAATAAATTAATTTATAAATTAACAAATAATCATTGCCCAATTCCCTGTGAGTTGTCTTCTTCCCATTTGAGGTCCCAGATGCCTCCCCTTTCCCCCAGGTCAGAATGACACAGAAGAGTCAGGGGCCTAAAGGGGAGGCTCATGCCATTGTGGGGTTCCTTATGTATGAAGTCGACTTTGTTTTTATTCCTGTTAACTTGTATCTTATTTACAGGGCTGTGTTAGCCAATATTCTAGAAGGGTAATGGAAAAAAAGTTTTTCTCCCTACAAAACCATGAGGATACTGTTTGCCAGGAAATACTAGCAATTTGAGAACTCATGAAAAGTGCTGATTTTTAACTTTGAAAGTTTATTTTTTAAACAAAAAAATTAAAAATGAATGTCAATGTAATTGTATTTGTCCAGAGAAAGAGACTAAAATAGTAGAATCTTCCATGTGAGAAAAAAGCTAAGTGGAAATACACAGTGTTGCCTAGGAAGAGAATGTTTCATTTATGCCATAAATATGCTAAACAATAAGAATTATAGAGATAAATGTCATGAAGATCCTTCCTCTGGGGACTGTAGGTACAGAGAGATTTCCCTCCATCTCTCTCTGAGTTTTCTTCAAGCTGCTTGAGCATTCAGTGACATCAAACAGTTGGGTATGGAAAAACAACAAATTGAATCACACGTGTCTGCATTCTGTACATGGATGATGATTCCAAAGCAAACGGCCAGTGAGCTTCTACAGGGTGTGCCAAGGAACCGGCCAGGATGAGGCTTTGAGGAGAGAGGAAGGGGATGCCTGATGGTGACGAGGCGCTCTATAACTAGGTGTTTGCCTTGCCATACAGATCCATTTCTCCAGTAAGTTATTTCTGATAAATCCTAAATCTGGGTAATAGCCCAATTTCCATCCTTCTATGTCGATAAGGGATAGTTGACAAAAGTTTAGGAGCTTGCAGGGCTTTGATTAACCTTAGCTCGAAATAATCCACATGCAAAGTGACACAAAGTGAACTTCTGGGTTTTCAAATTTGAGGGAGAGGCTCACAGGAAGGAATGCAGTGCAGTGAGAGGCTGCCTCTGGCCAGGAGACTCTAGGAGGGTTAAAAGGCAGCCCCTCAGCCCAGAGTATTACAGGAAGAAGGCAGCATTTGCAGGCCAATCTGTGTGTGGAGGTGTGCTTTTTTCTTGAGTGTATACCTAGGGGGAAGCGTTGTTGGGCTGCATATAGTTTGACACTGCTAAATTCTTTGGCATAGCTGTACCGTTGTATGAGCTTGGTAGCTATATATGAAACTTCGTATTTCTCCACATCCTTGCAAGCATTTATTATCTTTCACTTTGAGAACAGTCATTCTAGTGCATATGAAATGATATCTAATTTACCCCTTAAAAACTGACAATATTGGCCCTCCCTGGTGGCGCAGTGGGTTAAAGCACTGCACTCAAAAGCCACTTCTGCATGAGTTCGATCCCCGCCTGCCCCGGAGGAGATCCACATGGTGTGGCAGACCTCTCCTGACCCACCCGCTGCTCCCCTCAGCAGTGTACTTTGTCGATCTGCCTGTTCTGTTCCCCACTCTGTTCCTGGTGAATCCTCTCACCACACCTGAGCCTCTGGCCTGTACCCCAGTTCTGTATGCATAAATAAATAAATCTTAAAAAAAAAAACTGACAATATTCAGAATCTTCCTTGAATATTTTCTTAAATGAAATGTTTCTTCAAATCTTTTGCCAACTTTAGTTTTAGTTTTTTATTGAAATAACATTGTTTATAGCATGTAAGCTATAGGTATGCATTGTTATAAATCAACATCTGTATATAATACATTAGGTTCACCACTAACAATCTAATTCCATCCTTCACTACCAGGTCACTTTATTTACCTACCACCTTAACCCCTGTCTCTTCTGCCAACTGCTAATTTAATCTTAGAGTCTAAAAATTTATTTTTGTTCATTTAGTCTCAAGAGTATGAAAATTTATTTTTGTTGTCTTTAGTTCATTTATTTCTGTGTAGACATGAGTGAAATCACAGGATGATTGTTTTTCTCCATCTGGCTTCTCTCACTGAGTATAATTACCTATATTGTTGCAAATATTAAGATTCCATCTTTTTATAGCACAGTAATATTCCAATATGTGTGTATCATATCTTCTTTATCCAGTCATCTTTTGATGAGCACTTAGGTTCAAGTTCTGACTGCAGTGAATATGGAGACACATAGAGCTCTTCAAATTAGTGTTTTTTGTTTTCTTCAGTAAATACCCAAAATGGCATGTTATTGTATGGAATATCTATTTTTAAATTCTGGAGGACTCTCCATACTCTTTTCCACAGGCATACTCATTTATATTCCCACCAACAGCAGGCAAGGGTTTCCTTGTCTTGGTTCCACTGTAATTCTTGTTTCTTATCTTTTAGGGAATAGCCAGTCTTGTAAATGTGATGAGACAGTCCCTCATTTTGATTTGCATTTCCCTGCTACCGAGAGAACATGAGCATCTTTTTGTGCAGACAGGCCATATATTAGTGGCTGCCCAAATGGGAGGAGGGATGAGAATGAACTAAATGAATAGCAGGGATAATGCAGGGAAGATAGTGATGTTCCAAAACTAGATTGTGATGATGATTGCACAGCCAGGTAAACTTATTAAAAAGAACTGCCCTCACTACAGATAAAGAAAGGCTCTTAAAGAGTGAGGAGGAGTGCTCTAGGAACAAAGAACTGTGTGAGCAGTGACACAGGGAATGTGATGTTGGGGAGGGGCCACGTCAGGGGTCAAGTCCAATGTGAGTAGAGTTCATTCTGAAGGCCTCACAAACATGCTGAGGATCTGGCACTCCATCTGTGGGCAGGAAGTAACAGCACACAGGCAATTGCACTTCTGTATTTATAATTGTATATAGAGGATTATATTCTGTAATTCTAAATTATAAAAATTATTTTTCTATAATTTTCATGTAATTTAGAAAAGGAGAATACAATACAATCATTTTGGCTGGTTTTCATCTTTCTGTGTAGGAAGAAATGACACTAACACTACTTTTTCCTTGATTATAAAGGTAAACGTTGGAAAACTGATGGCATCAGCATTATAACTTACAAAGCACAGGACCGACTTCTGACAGTGAGCTTGGAAACCTTTGGCCCTCTCACCTTGATGCAGGATAATCATGTCAACATGCCATACCAGTCATGGGAACTAACACCACTTGATGTGAACAAAGTACTTTTGACTGTGATTACGGTGTTTGCTGAGATTCAAATACAAATTAAAGTAAGTATTATAAGAGTAGGAAACCTGTCTGGCATAAGAACATTTGTCCAAGTTAGCATTCCACTGTAGTTTACGCATTGCAATGCCTTTTAGAAATATATTTAAAATGCATCTTGATTAAATGCACTTACAATTTCTAAATGAAGTTTTAGCTGAATAGGTAAGCAATAATATATAACAAGGGTAACTCAAATTGTCCCTCCATTACCAGGCAGAGAGCAATTCATGAAGGTGCAGGCTTCCTGATATTTAGAGGTTTAGAGGTTTCCTGATATTTAATTGTGAAGCCCTTGAAGTTGTTCTTTCCATCTATTGCTTGTCCATCAGAAATTATACAGCCTGAAATACAGAGACAGAGTACCTGAGGCTGAGGTTGGGATGGAAAGTAAGTGTTAACAGGCATAAAGATTTTATTGTGGGAGGCTGAAGGTGTAAAAGTGACCTATGGTGATGGTTGTAGCACTTGGTCAAGTTACAAAAATAATATCACTGGTTGTGCCTTTGAAGTAAATTTTACGGGATGGATAAAATGAGATAAAATCTGTATATCTTTGAATTGCCACTTTTTTTAAAAAAAGATTTATTTATTTGTACAGAACTGGGGTATAGGCCAGAGATGTGGAGGGTGAGAGGATTCACCAGAGACAGAGTAGGGAGCAGAACAGGCAGATCGACGAAGTACACTGCTGAGGGGAGCAGCGGGCCAGTCAGGAGAGGTCTGCCGTGCCATGTGGATCTCCTCAAGGGCAGGTGGGGATCGAACTCATGCGGAAGTGGCTTAAGCTTCTTAGTGCAGTGGTTTAACCCGCTGCGGCACCAGGGAGGGACCTGAATTGCCACTTTTAAACTAGGTAATTTGCACTAATTATTCTGTTTTCATAGGTAAGATTTAAATATTGTCTTTAAAAATTATGAATGTTATCAAATAGCTATTTTAATTTGGTATGAATATATGTAGTATTTTTATGTCATGAGATAGGTGAAGACCTGAGAGATGGCTTAGCATAATTCTTTAATTGTTCACATGAAGCCTAAAGAGAGTGAGAAAACTGAGTGAGGCAGAGTGGAGATGGAGTGGCAGAGTTTTCAGATCTGGCCTAATAGCTAACCGTCATACATTATTTTTATTATAGAGTGGCATGGAGTTTACAAAAACATATATAGTGTAAAAACCCAAAAGCTAGCACTTGAATGATAATGAAATAATTTATTAAATTACTTTTTTCTTATTGAATCCAGGAGAACCTCTGCATGTTAGCCTCTCTCAAACTAACTAATCAAGAAAAATTCTCTATTTTGGAAGGAAAGTGGATGACTCCTGTTTCTTTCATCATTGCCTTGAAAGAAGTGGGAATGAATATCTTCCCTTCTGGACACTCTCATTTTTATGTTTCCATAAACTATAAGGTGAGAATGAATCTGTCTAAACTTAATACTCTAGATATTCCATAGAATGTTAGCATTAATTTTATGTGAATGTTAACTACACCATGGGCTTTCTATATTCACATGCACAGGATTATAGTTAGAAAGAAAGGAATAATAAATTGCAAGCCACAAAAATCTAGGGTTCTTTCAAATGTTGTAATTTTAATATTCACTAAGAAAATAAGCCTGTCTCTCCATATTAACAAGTGATACATATCCACTGTTGGCCAGCAGAACAGATAGTCTGTCCTGCAAGAGTAAATAACGCCGCACTTCCCCAAGTTAGGTGAAAATAAGCACATTCAAGGGCCACAAAGACACTGAAAGCACTTGCTGCTGCTTTTGGTCTGTACACTGCTTTATGTCAGTCAGAAGCCTTTTAGTAAGATGTGCTCCTTCCTGGCTAAACTGTGTGTGAGCTCTCTAAGACAGGGACTGTTTTGTAATCAACTTTGAATCTAGCATATTCCTAGAATATAGATGTTTAATACATGCCTTTGATATATGAATGAAGATGAAGTAGCTTCTAATCATGAAAGGTATTTTGGGCAGAACTGCTTTATACCCAAGCGCATGTTTATAAAACACTAACTAATAACAGTAGGTGGCTATCAGAATCATTTGAAAAGAATCACTGAATATGTACAACATAATATGCATAGGGATTAAAAAAAAAAACAACCTTGGATTTAGTAACTCAGATTGCTGGTTACTGTTGTAATGCTGAATGTAGTGTACTAACCTCAAACTCCAGGATTTTTGTGACCACTTATACACTCTTTAGCATTGTATTTGCTTCTGTATCTCAGCATCTAAAACAAGGCCTCAGCCCTGGTTGGAGCTTACTTTCTAGTAGGAAGCAAATAAATGAAACATTCTACTATGCTAAAGGCATACAGAAAAAGAAAGAACAGTGAGCGATGTCAAATAGGGCACTAGGGGACTCCATGAGAAAGTAGAGCCCAACAGGAAGATGGGGAGTTCAGTCCAGGGAGATAACTTGAGAAGTAGCTGCCGGGTGGAGAACAGGGGGCTAGGAGCCAAAAAAGCAAAGAAAAGGAGGTAAGATCTGATGAGCAAATGTGGGGGTGTCAGATCACAGAGGCCCTTGCAGACCGCTAGATTTGGATTCTACTGCCAGAGGAGTCACATAATCTGTCTTTTGAATGGAGCTTTCCACACTGGAGAGCAGACAGTCCGCAGACTGGGGGAGAAACTCCACAATCAACTATTTGTTTTCTTGTTGACAGGTTGCTTTGGTAGAAATGAAAGCTTATCGCCAAATGGCCTTGCTAAGCTCTGCATTTGCATTTGGTTGGAGCAGATGGAATTTACAATGTAATTCTACAAGGGTTGTATTTAAGGTATCGTACACAAAAATCCATGCAAGTGTTTTAAATGCTAACTAATATAAATCATGATTTTTTCCTCTTAAAAGATATAATGGGGGGGAAATTACTATTCAAAATGAAATTTAGAACCTCATCACCGTCCATTATGGTGTATGGTCAGGCATATGATTCATGGACTCTCCCCTCAGAGAGGTTGGGCTTCCTAGTTGATTTTCTGGGCCATTTCCCATCGCCTGGGAAAGATGGCATCTTAATAATTCTGGAAGCTGACTGGTAGATATGTTAGCATAAACTTAGCCTGTTCATGTGCTCCTCCCATTAGCACAGGAGATCCTTGAGTAAGGGTTGCAGTTCTCAGTTATTGATGATTGTATCCACAGCACACCTGTACAGTATGGGCTGGACCCTTCCCTGTGGGTAACCACCATTCTGACTTCAGTAGCCAAGGCTTTTTTATTATTTACCTTCACCTATCAGCGAGCTCTTGAAATAGTACTTCCTCTTCTATTGGGTATTCTGGAAGAAGAGTATTAACAAACCTTTCCTATTTTCTGTAGGTGAGCGAACACCTTGCTAAAGAAGACCCTATTCAGAAGCCTGATTCGCCCCTTTTGATGTTTAGTGCAGATAGAACTCAAAGACTCAAGATCGATGAATACAGTGAGGCATTCTCTGACACCATTAAAGAAGAAACCGAATTTCATTCTACTCTATATCACATGGTTAAGGACTTCGCGTCTCAAGAAGCAATGGAGAAAATCAGGAACTCCAATTGCCAGTTCATTGACACTGTATGCCACATGCTTCTGTCTACCAGGTTGCTCAGCTATTCTTAGCCACTGTGAAGAATCAAGCAGCTGAAGAAAAATCAGGTACTTTTTCAGTAGGTTGTAATAAGGGCTACTGAAATCATCTAATATATATTTTATACTTTATTTCTATAAATTTTTAAAAACCATCTATCAGAGCTCTCCCTCAAATAGTATAGGCTCCCCACTTCCCCACTGCAGTTTGTGGGGGAGGTCAACACAAAAGAGGGGAAATAAATTATCTTAAGTCATTTAGAGAACCACATAATTTCTCAGCTAGAAGCTAATTTACAAAGTTCAGATACTGAAACTTTTTAAAAACCAAGATACTTATATTAGGATGAGCTGCGGTTACACTGGTGGGGGCCCGTTGTGTTGCAGCCTGGTAAATGGCCACAGAATATGTTCTAGAGACATCCAGGAGTCCCCCTCCTGGGTGGGAGCGGCGTCCACAGACTTGGGCCCGAGGCGGCAGGTGAGGAAGCTCATCAGCGCTGCCAACAGCACGGCCAGGGCCGCTGAGAGCCAGAGGGTCTTGTTGGTGTTTCTGAGTGCCGTCCTGAGGCTGGAGGTCCAGGAAGCAATGGTCTCGTGACTGTAAGGAAAAGCCAATTCAGAATTTACCAGAAACACACTGTCCACCCGCCACATAGCCTGGGTTAAGTACAAGTTAGGGGGCAGCATGGGCTGTGAGGACATCTCTCACCGGACCCTGGGTTGGTGCTGCACTGAAATACAGCCTTGGAGTGCTTGTGCAAGATCTAAGCACGTGCGCGTGCAGCTCATAACAATGCCCTGACTTGGTGTTTTTAGCACTCGTAGGTCAAGGCACTGTGCTCACTTGGGCCCTGTGGGCCTCACACTGAGCTCCCACCCTCAGGGCCAGAGGTTCCGGGAAAACCCTCGGAGGCCACATGAAAGTTATTTGTCCTAAATCCCACAGTTTGACAGGTGCTTAGTGACATCAGGTAGCTAAGACAAGTCCTGTTTTCCCTGCCTTAGCCTTCCCCACCCCAAGTGGACAGCTTACACTGAGGAGACATCCCATTTTGATGGAATATTTTTCTTCTCAGAAAGACTTGGCTTTCTTGTCCTTTCTATGGTTTCTTCTTCAGGAGCTTCTGAGTCCTCTTTAGTTCTGTAGAAGTATTATTTTTAAGTATTTGAAACTAAGGGTAATGTACTATACCTTACAAGAATTTAACTTCAAAAAGTAACTCCTTGTATTTATAAAATAGCCAAAGAGCAAATAAAAAGGGGAAGGAAGGTCAACTGTGTTTAACTAGTTTTTAATCAGTGATAAACTGGAGAAACAGCAAAATGCCTTTTCTCTAAAACTTGAGTTTTGAAAAGTGTACGAAACTATTCTTAGTGTGAAGCTATTTAAACTTATACTCAGTGAGCCAAAGAGATCTAAAACTTTAATTGTTTTCCTATCCTGTTCATTGACAACCTCCTAATGCCCTCACCATTGCAAAAACAAGCTTGTCAGTCAAGCATCGATGGAGAATTGAGGTGGTAGCTTTTAGTTTCCTTTTTAAAGGAAGCAAGCTCTAAAGGTCAGACTCAAGTGCATTCTCGAGGTTTCAGTCTCTTGTTTACAGAGACTGCTCAGTAAAACCATACACTTCATACTAACTAAAAGGAACAAATGAACAGTAATCTTTTGAAGGAAACTCCCTTTGCACTGCCTGAATCAAAAAGAAAAGCTGTTAACTCTTTCGAAGAGAACTCAGGATGCTGAAGGCTCCCAGGGAGATAGATCTGATGCCAGGTTGCTGGGGTGGAGCCAGGGTCCTCTGGTGTCACGTGACACTTCTCTCTACAGCTAAGGAAAATGGGCAAGAGCAGCCAGGCAGCCTGCCCAGTGAGTAGCACTTGATATCTGACCTGTGTGATAGGTAAGAGCCTGAATTACATATGGACCAGAGACCAATATAGGGAAAAAATGACCTTCTCAAATCTGGCAAATTCCTCCATCTTTTCTAAGGAAAGGCCTCAAAACCTGCAGGCAGTCCTGAGTGTCACAGGCATGAATGTATTCACAAATAAGTGTTTACAGGCTCTACAAGTGTGACAGTCCTCTCTTGGATACAGCAGTGGTCTCCTGTCCAGGGGGCAACATTTTTGCCCCAGCTAGAGTCAGGTTAACAAATGAATACCTACTTTAATTCACATTTTTCTTCTTCAGCATCTGCCCAGGAATAGGTGCTAATAAATCGCTGTAAGGAGGGCCGGTGTTCACTCTGCTTTGACCCCAATATACGCCTAAATAGAGAGTACAGCCGCTTGTCAGATCAAAATATCTGTAGCCATTAATTATCAAGTGACTTCCTATTCCTTAAATCAGGGCAAACCAGTAGCTCATTTTTTTTTTTCTTGGCACACTCAACAGTTCACAAAACTACATGACCACAGCCAATTTTTGTAACTATCTTATGCTCACTTCAAACATAGTATAATTTAGGCAAATTATAAAACACTAAGGTTTGCCAAGAACAGCCATAAAATTACACTTACCAGCTACTTGACCTCCTGCTGAATCGCTCGTTTTCCATCCCTGCCACCTTTGCCATCCAGAGGTGTAAAGACATGATAAAGGTGAATTTAATAACATGTATTGCTTTGTCATCTAATAAATAAATATGCTTTTGACTAAAAACAAGCATTTACTTACCAAGCCTACATTTCCAATATTTCTGGGCAAAGAGGCAATGGTCACTCTTCTGAGAGAAGATGGCTGCCCAAGGAGAGAGAGGGTGGACATTTAGCTAACTGTCACTACCTGCTCCTGCCTTGCACCCCGGAAGGGTTCTGTGTAAGTTTACATTATTTGCCTTCTAACATTGAACAGTCTGTCAAGTATTCAAGTCTGTACATCTGCTCCGACAACCACATTTATGATTCTGTGCATATAAAACATATTGTTAATGCACCAGATTTGTCTATTCTTTTGCCACCATTTCTTTTATATTTAGAATAACTTTCTCCAATATGCACCTGTTTTTTTACCTTCCCTAACCCCGTAACTTCACTTTTCCATTGATGAGTATGATATTTTAGTGAATGGGACTGTTTCTGTCTCAGCCTGGAATACAGATTCAGGAAATAAATGATGTATGTGAATCATTTATCTTAAGTCATCATCCCTAATTTAATGACAGATATGTTAAGCAAAAAAATTAGTACTAGACAGAAACCTGGTACTAATTGTGGCTCTTCCCCTACATCACCATCACTAGTCATTTCTATAAATCTGACTTTTCCCATCTGTGAAAGAAATTTGAGTGCAATGATTAAAGGAACTTATTCAAAAATTCCATGAAAAGATTCTATGAAATCCTGATTTGCAAACTGTGGCAAAAACTACTGGTTGACTTTCAGTATTACCACCGCCCCCTTCTTACTACAAATACTTTGATTTTTAAGCATGAAAAAAAGGGGACTTCTAAGAAGGAGCTTTGATGCCCAGAACTGAAACCTTCTCACCCCCTAGAGGCGGAGCCAAGGGATGAGGGCGATAAAGCAGAGAAAGGAGGATTCTGCTGACCCTGTGGATTCTGTGATGCGGTTCTCCACTGGGAGACTGCTTGCAAGGCAGTTCTGCATGAGACACTTACACTGGTCTTCCTTTCTAGTTAGCATTCAAATACAGCACGAGATGTGAAAACATACCTCTAAACATGAAAACCAGTTTCTTGAACAGCAGGACCACTGCTGTTTTATGATTTACATTTATCATGTGGCTTTAACATTTCAAAATCTTTCACATGTAATATTTGATAGACAGCTATTAAGTCAATTGGTAATTACCTTGGAGTTTAGAGAAGTGGGGCGTTTTTTAACTTGGCAGTCATCTGAAAAGAAAAACACCTTTGTACATTTTAGGAATTGTATATGCGAATGTATGCAGTGGTCTTAGTTCTCTACAAAGAAAATCAAAATGTTTAAGACCCTGGAGACTACTGAGCAATCTCTCTCTATATATATAAATGGTTACCATCATAACCAAGGGAATGCAGCCTTTTGTCTGCAGTCCAACGGTCTATTGATTAAATGGTCAAACATGGTTTCTTTTCCAGAGAGGGAATGATCATTAAAAGAATTCTCAGACAAGTCTGTTACTAATTTAAAATAAAACTATTGCAAAATTTCCATAATCCTTATATGAAGGCAGTTTCCATGGTCTCTCATGTACCCTAGTTTTTCAATCCATCATGAAGTTCCATTTCCAGGGTAATTTCTTCTGAGGAATACAGAACCATTGTTGAGAGTAGCTCATTATATGATTGCACCTTGCTTTATATGTGGAAAACAAGTCAATTCTAACATGTCCTAAGTAGAACACAAGGTCAACTCGACGGATTAGATTCAACCTCGGTAATGTAAATTGATTTAATGAACTTGTGTTCATTAAGGAATCCTTGTCGCTCCACCTATTTTCTAACTAATGCCTTGTGTTGGGTTATGTAAATAACCAGTTCTACAATTATCCCCTTAACCTAATCATCTTCACTAAAGATATTAAGAATTAGCAACAGAATGAGGAGAATGTTAGGAAAATATCACTCATACCATTATCATAAACTTCAATTACCTTCATCTTCAAGAGGGTTAAATGACCTTTCATTCTGCAGGAGAACCTGTTTCAGTTCTTCTAGTTCAGCATGCTCTTTGGCATACATTCTCTTCAGGTTTTCGACATGCTGAATCATTACTTCAACTGCTTTACTAACCCGACTTTCCTAGGAGGAAGAGAAAGGGAATATTTGTACTGCAAATACAGTCTTGCTTTTCATTTCAGCACCACATACCACTAAAATGACAAGGCATTTGTTTGTTTTTAAGAAAGGCATGAGCCTCTCAGGGTAAGTAGAAGAGGAGGTGACAGCAACAAAACTTGAGAGTCTGCTAGAAGGAGAATGAGTGTTAGATGAGCTATATCTAAAAAGGCTGAATCCTCAGAAAAACAGCAAGAAAACCCTAGACACAACCTAGGTTGCACCATAGAAAGCCCCTAAGACTCAAGAATGGGACACTTCTAGAATTGTATTTAAAGGTAGATGTGTGCGCAGAAGAAATGTTGAAAATCGAGTGTAAGGGATAAGGAGAAAATATATATATAAATATATATACACACACACGTATATATACATGTACATATATATGTACACACGTATGTATATATATATGTGTGTGTGTATATATATATATATTATAGTAATTGCAATAAAGTAAAATAACATCAACTAACAACTATAAGCCAGAGACATTCTATGCGGAAGGAGAGGGGTACAAGATCAAAACTGGGGTGGGAAGAGCACACAGGACTATGGTGATGGCACAGGGGTGAAGTGGTGGTGGAAAGTCCACAGGATTACAACCAAGATGAAAAAATGCACAAAATGAAGAAAATGTAAAATATATATATATATATATAAAGAAAAATCCGTCAACCAGATCCCCCCCAGGCCAAACAAGGAAGACTACAATAGTTCAGTATCTTAGAGAATTAGAGGGTATGGAGATCAGGGAGTAACAAAGTTGATGGTAAATGAATCATACTAAAAGGCAGATGTCAGCAAAACTCTGCATCCATATTGGTCATTAAGGTATTCTAGCCTTCTTCCTCCTTCCAGCTCCCCTCAGTACTGGGCTTTGATTCTCAAGGCAGGCAGTTCATAGATTTTTTTCTGGGGAATCTAACATCCCAAGGTGAAAGTCCTAAAACTGCCAATATCAAAAATACCACAGTGAAACAGCCTACCTTGTGTGAAGCTCAGTGTGGCTAAAATTTGTCACACCCCCACGCATAGCTCCCACTCAGCTGTGCATGGAGGCGGTGGAGTGGGGGGAGCCCTCATATGCAGAGGAAAGCCTCTAGCATGAAAGCAGAAAATTAAAATGTAGACAGTCTTTGTTTCCTTCAGTTGACTTTTTTTTTTTTTTGTATTTTCAAATGGGAGAAAATTTAAAACTTCAAGGAAATTATCAGTATCTTCAGAGTTTAAAGTATTGCATCCATGAAATAAAAACAAGATTATATTAAAAAGGAATATTCACAAAATAAAGAATCCAGAAGCTTAAAATATGACAAATATAATAACTCATAGAAAAGTATCAAGGTAAGGTTGAAGAAATCACCCAAATAACTCATAGAAAAGTACAAAGGTAAGATTGAAGAAATCACCCTGAAGCTAGAGCTAAAAGATGAAAAAGGGTCACTTCAAAATATCTTCAAGATATTGAAGGGATTAAAGACTGTATAGAAAAATGTAGAAAAATTCCACAAAATTAAAGCAATTGAAGAAAAATTCCAAAACTCAGGGATATAAAGTTGCCAACTGAAAAAAATGTCCCTTCACTGGATGAAAATAAATCTGTATCAAGGGAAGACAGTAAAGATAAGAGAATATTCTGAAAGCCTGTGTAAAGTTAACAGAAGTTATAAACAAAGAGTCAGGATGGCATCAAACTTCAGTAACATCAGAAGTTAAGAAGAATCTGAAACAACCTGATAAATGTTCTAAAGGAAATTGCTTTCTGAACTTAGAATCCTTCACAAAACTAGACTATCCCCTGTGATAATAAAGATATTTTCAGTTCTGTAACATTTCAGTAAGTTGACTACCACCCATGCATTCTTTGTCTCAAGAAGTTACTAGGTAAGAGTTTGTACCAATGTGAAAAAAATAAACCATTCAAGAGGGAAGCATGAGATTCGGCACATAGAGAAGTGAAGCAATCTTTATTTAAGGGTTTCCAAGGCCTGTGTGGTCAATCTGCACACCAGCAGTCCAGAATGCAACAGGTTGGAAACATCCAGAAACACCAGCTCAGAAAAGGAAATGACAGTACTGATATATTTAAATGTATTGTGAGACCTACACCCTCTAGGAGAGCTTGGGGGTGAATGTTAGGTAAGTAGATCTAGAAATCTAAGCAACTAGCAATCATGGCAAAGAAAATGATTAATTCTATGAATGGAAATTTGTGCAGAAGAGGAAAATCATCTTAATAGACTATGATCTCTATGGACAGAATTTACACAGTCATAGTTATGCTTACACATAATTTAGATCTAACATTATTCATTTATGATTTTTTAACCAAAAATGTTTTTATGAATATTACCAAACAGATTCATACCAATCAGCTTCAAGGATCATCAACATTTTGCCATGAGTTTCATCTCTTCCCAATATTTTAATACTATTTTAAAAAATCGGTGAACTTTCAAGTGGAAGAGTTGAGTTGGCAGTAATGTTTTCTAATCTGGAACCCATGGGAAAGGTTTCAGCTAAGCATGCAAATTTGGGAGTCAACAGCTGATTGCACTGGACCAGATGGGGACTGAGCACAGATGGAGATCAGATGTACAGGCCTGGGGGGAAGGATGCCACCCAGAAAGGAGCTTGGAAGGGAGAAGGCCCATAATGTAGGGGGAAACCAGGAGAATATGGTGCATAGCAGCCAAATGAGGAGAGTGTTTCGAGGGGGAGGAAAAACTCAGTCATTTCGAATGTAGCAGAGGGAAGAGAGAATGGAGTTGCTTTTGCAGAAAATGGGAGCAGAGAAATCAGGTGGTAGCCAAATGTGACAGGGTCAAACATTTTGTTGAATAACTGCATTTGCACACTGAAGGGATGACATGGTAAAGTGGGGAAAGCTAAAGATAGAAGAAAATGGGGAGGACAGGGTCCCAAGGTCTTGAATCATTGAGAGGGGATGGGATGTTATTATCAGGGCAGATGCGGGGAAGGGGTGTCTCAGGATGAGAGAGACAAGTCATAGTTAATACTAGGAAGAAGGTGAAGTATAAGGGCCGGGATGATAGTAGCTTCAGAGCTTGTGAAAGTTCCCCTTTGCGGGCTGCGGTTTTCTCAGTGAGGTAGTGAGTCAGGCAGGAATGACATTACTTGATAGAGAAGATGCGGGAGAACATGATGGTGGTTGGAGGAAGGAGGAAAATATGTGAACATGGTATTTAGAAGAGAGGAGGGTGAGTGTTAGAACCCAAGGACCCACTTGGAGTTTGTGATGATGACTTTCAAGAGAGCTCAGTCATCTTGGGAAGGGTGGTCCAGCAGTTCAGGGGAGTGCAGGTAGAGAAATGGATATAAACAGGGTTGTAGATTTTCCAACCAAGTAAAACCAAATAAGGAGGGAAGGTTTATACCAGGGGGAGCAAGTCCTGCATTTGATATGGAATTTAAGTTTGTTTAGGAAAGATAGTGAAAAGGTGTGAGGGCACAGGTCAAGAGAACTAATCACCTTCACATGGGAAACTTGCAAATATCTAAAAATGAAAATTAATTACTACAAGTGTAAGCATGTTGAGAGAGATGGTTGTACATAAAGACAAACGAGGAATTAAAGGTTATTGTTCTGGAATATAGAAAATGGGATAAGAAACCTTATGGAATTGCTTGCCTTCCTACCCCTCCCCAACTACATGCATACGTAACTTTAATAAAAATAAAACAGTATTATTCTCTAATAAGGTGTTAAGAAGGAACTAGGATATTGAAAACATATCAGATATGACTAGCAAAAACTATCACCACAATTAAATCTTTTTAATGAAAATATATTAGTTTCCATAGTCTTGTCCTCCAATAAATCTTAAACACCTTCCTCTCCATAAATAATTATACAAAGATAAACATACAAGTATATTTATTATAACATTATTTATAATAGAAAAATATCAAAAACATTCTGAAATAATCAAATATGAGATTGGTTAAATGATATGTAGTCACCAATAAAGTGCCAAAATGATATGTGTATGTATATTAAGATACACAGCATTTTATCTATGCTATATGTAATTGTAAAAACATAGCATTATGGCATGTCTAGGAAAAAAATCCCAAATTATTTATAATGACTATTATATATTACATATATGTTATAATTGTATGTTATATATTATATAATATTACAATGCTATTATGAGATATTTTTATTTACATTTCAATATGAATTTTTACTTTCCTTTGCTTTCTGTATTAAAATGGAAGTATTGCACAATTTAAAAAAAAAAAAACTTCCCCAAAATGTAATCTATAATCTCAGGAAAATAAGTCCTTTGAGTAATTTGTCTTAACTAGAAAAATGGAGATGCATTACCTGGTTAATGGCTCCCAACATTTCAGCCCTACTGGCCACACGTGCTGTGCACTGACTGAGGAATGTTACACTCTTCTCCAGCTTTTTAATGACTTCCTGGGCCTGGTTGTCATCTTCACAGAGAGGCGTTAAAGACTACGCAAAGAGCAAAATATTAAAAAGTATTTGATTAACGCATTCAACACTAACATATACCTGCATATTGGAATCAAAGCTCCATTATCTTGAAGAAACAAGTTAGACATGTTCAGACATGCTATGCTCATGGATTGACTTATATTGTTAAGGTAGCCATAGTACCCAAACCAATCTAGAGTCAATAGTGGAATTTTTTTTGTAGAGAAATAGAAAAAATTATACAATTTATATGGGACAAAAACAATGGGAAAAGAGAACAACAAAATTACAAAACTAACACTTCAAAATGCATTACAAAATCTATTACAAAGCTATAGTAATGGTTCTGGGTGTTGGGTTTATTCATAAATGCAAATGTAATTTTAAAGACTTAGTGGTGGCCCCCAAATTTCACAGTTCCCACCTCTAATAGCTTGAGACAATTGGTGATTTCTTTCTTTAGATTTTCTTCTGCCAAGTCACGGGATCTTTGTTCAAGTTTCACTCTTTTCTCCAAAGTGAAATAGTCACATTTAAAGGCCAAGGATAATCTGAGGAATTCGGCCTGTTTCAAAATAATGTGAGGGTGAGAGAAGAAAACTGGATATGGTAAGAAAAGCAAATACAATTGAAATCCAGATCACAGTCAGGCATTTCTTGCTCCCAGCAAAGCAACATGTACACACAGAAACTACCTGCACCGAGCCAACGCCAAACCCAACAGACCCCAAATGGATGAAGCATGTGCAGAAGCGTGAAGCAGTGGGCAGGTGATCTGAGACATTTAATTTAATACAAGAAAAAAAAACATTTGATTTCAACTCACCTCCACCTCCTTCTCATTGGCAGAACTGCTAAAGGATAAGACAAAGAGCTTCAGCTTTAGTCAACTGAAAGGTTAAACAGTAAAAAGTGATAGCAGCATGTGGAGCACTTACTTATCATTCTGCCTAATGTTAACTGATTTCACAGTGGTTGCAGGAGGAGGGGAAGCAGCTGTGTCTGTTAAAAAGACAACACGTCATTTGGCTAAAAAGGTCTAACAGCTAAAAGCACATTTGATCAAAGGTTGTGTCCTCTCCACTAACAAGGCAATCTAAAAAAATTTAATTAATTAATTAATTAATTTAGTTAGTTAGTTAGTTAGTTATTGATGCATACAGAACTAGGGTACAGGCCAGAGTTGCAGGGGCAGTGAGAGGATTCACCAGAGTCAGAGTGGGGAGCAGAACAGGCCAAGCCATGAAGTACACTGCTGAGGGGAATAATGGGCGGGTCAGGAGAGGTCTGCTCTGCCATGTGGTCACCTCTGGGGCAGGGATCAAAATCATGCTGGAGTGGTTTTAGTTTCTTAGTGCTGTGTTTTAACCCACTGCATCACTGGGGAAGGCCCACAAAAGCATTTTATTGGAGTCTGAGACTATAGCTAATAATGCATTTGCTTAAACATGAGGATTCTCAGCTCTGCTTCTGGGCTTCTGGGGCAGTAAAGTCACTGGCTCCCCTTTCGGCATGTGAGGCTTCTTTCAAACCTGAAGATGTTTCAGAGTCAAGGGGCAGGTCAACTGCCCTCTCTACATTTGAATGCTTATTTGATTTGATCTCAGGGCCAATATATATAGTCCTCTGCCCCGCCCCTGTTCTGCCTCATAGCGGCAACAGGGCCAGCAACAACACGTGGTGTTGTTTATCACAGGCATACTCTGCTTCATGACAAGCTCACAAAGAAGCTACTTGTTATTAAGGACATTAGGTTTACCCAATTCTTGGTAGTTACCAGAAGAATATGAACACACTAGGCATTTGCACTCCTAGGTTTACTGCAACACTATTACAATAGCCAAGTTATGGAAACAAATGGCCCCAGACAGGTAAATAGTTGATCTACAAGATATGGCAGAAATAGAGATGGAATATTACTCACTGATCAAAAAAAGATTAACTCTTGCAACTCGAATGACATATGTACTTTCACTTTTTTACATCTTTAACATATTTACATTTTTACTTTTAGTTGTGATACTGAAAATAATCTCAAAGTGGAGTTCAGAATTTACTACCAACGTTGCCTTGTCTCTAAGTTCAGGACAGGGCAAGAGATAGTGCAAGTCCTTACTTATTAACTGTGGGCCTTTCAGGACAGGGCAAGAGATAGTGCAAGTCCTTACTTATTAACTGTGGGCCTTACTTATTAATTCAGCACAGATGTGGATTTCTGCAAATCATACAACTGGGATCAAGAATTTATTCTGTTTGGGCTCTTTTATCCATAGATGCAAAATTTGTAAAGATGATGCATCTTTTTATGTGCAAAGCTTTCACCCAGAAAAATCTCAGCAGGGATCATAAAAGCTCAGATGGCAGTTGGAACAGAACATTCCTTACCTTCTGCAGCACATTCTTTTTTATGTTCCTGTATTGTCTCTGGTTCCTCTTTGGCTTCCTAAAATCATAAGGAGATTTTACTGCTGTACACAGCATGGAAATTCTTCATAATCAATCATTTCCCAACTTCCTGTCCTCTCCTAACCCTGTCAGAACACTTTAAGACATGCAGAGAATAGTACAAGGGGTTATGAACAAAACAGGACTGGCCCCATGGGGGATTCCAATCTGGTTGAGGCACAATGGACAGTCATATTTGAAAAGCTATAAAACTAACACAAATTACCACAAAGTAAATTAGCATTACCTGCCAAACAGTTGAGATATAGAGAAATGCATGCCCTGAGCAGCAACGAAAGTCTGCAGACATGCAGGAGCTTGAAGAGAGGGAACACTGGATGGACAAAGAGTTAAAGAGTGGTGGCTTTTTTCCCCAAAGATTTATTTATGCATACAAGAACTGGGGTACAGGCCAGAGGTGAGGCCAGGGGTGAGAGGATTCACCAGAGACAGATGGGGAACAGAGCAGGCAGATTTACAGAAATACATTGCTGAGGGAAGCAGTGTGTGAGACAGGAGAGGTCTGCTGCACCATGTGTGTTGGCTCCCTGGCCAGGGATCAAACGCATTCTGCAGTGGCTGTGGGTAGCTTCACAGTGCTGAGACTTAACCCCTTACATCACTAGGAAGGCCCAAGAGTGGTGACTTTTAGATGAAGCTTAAAAGCTTGGTTGTTGTGGAAAGCTGTGTTAAAATGCTGCTAAGACTGTGTCCTGTTAGACGTTTATTCCATCTGAATACACCTTGAGGTCACCAGCCAACTGTCCTATCCTATAAAGGCATGCGTACAACAAGAATCACCACAATGACAGTGCACTATATGTCAGATTTCCCCCCCCCCAACTAGAACATTCCTCTTTGGTATTATTTGGTAGATTATTTTTGGTGTCCTGGAAACAGCATTCCCAGGGAATAATGGGAAATGTAGAAATGATCTGGGAAAGCTCATTTTTATGTAATCATTTGTAATCATTTCTATGCTGAAAATTATTCAGCAAATTTCTCCAAAATTTTCCATAACTCAGTCTAAGACAAATTTTCGTGGTAATTATTACATATCATGTAACTTGTAGACAATGGAAAGGAAAATATTGATAAATCGTAACCAAGAATACAGGCAGGAAACTGTATCATTCCATCAAGACTTAAACATTTCTCAAGCTGTTCTGAATCCTCCCTCAACCCCATGACCTCTTCCAGCCATGATACTGCCTTTCTCTACCAGCTCCTGTGGCCATGTTTCTTCTGGGAGGATTTGTCCACCACTGCTGTCTCCTGCTTTTCATCCTCCTTTGTCCTTGATACTCTCAATCTGCAACACCCCACCAGTTAGCACTGAACTCCCTATGGCCAAATCCAGTGGATCATTTCCAATCTTTATCTTACTTGAATTCACTGATGATTGTAAATGATCTGTAATCCCTTCCTTCAAGATTTTTCTACCTTTAATGCCCCTCTTTTGATGTCCTGCTATCACCATAACAGCTCCTCTGTTTCTCTTGCCAAGAAGACCTCATACTGGATGATAAATGATCAAGAATTCGAATCCTGCCTGCCTGCCAACCAGAGTCTTGGGAAATCTCTTCCACACACATGGTTCTTTGCATATAACTCAGAAACATATACCTGTCCTTAAAGTCCCATGGGTACGTCTATGAATGTGGGTGATGGACAGGCCTCCCCAGGATACTCAAAATAGGTCTTTCCAAGATGAATCCCTTGAACATGTGGATAATCTCAAGCTATAGTCAAGTGAGGTCCTGCAGAACCTTTTGCCATTCCCTCAACTGTAAAAGAATGGACATAGGGTATCTTCCCCAGAATTAGGGTTATAACCAGAAATAACTGTTCTACCAGAGAAACCTACCTGTATGGCAGAGAAAATACCTGTTACAAGCATTTGATCTTCATCCTATAAGTCACTGTTCCTACTCATGTGAGCCCCTCCCACTCCTTGAAAGACAAAACTCCTATTCCATTGCTTAGCTCAGGACACATACCACATTTTTCCTCACTGACCTGGTAACCATACAGATACAATTGTTTTGTTTTCTCCTACTAATGCTGCATTTATTTATTTGACCAGCACAAGAAAACTCAAAAGTGTGAGGAGGTCTCCTCCCCAACATCAGTCTATTGCTATATTTAAAATTGTATGGATGCGCATCAGTCTGAAACTAGGTTCATCTTAAATTGGTCTTATGTTACACCATGAATTGTTCTTTTCTTCCTAACTCCTGACATGTTACTGTGCTTATTCTGCGGGTAAAGCCAAAGCACAGGTGCTTATGTTTTTTCATACCTTATTGTCAGTCACCATGTACTGGAATTTAATCTCTTCAATATCTCCCAAATTAGTTTCCTTTACTCCTTCACCACGAAATGCACACTACCTTTAGCTCTTCTCTGAACTATTCCACCTACTCAATCTTACCTCCAATGCTCCATTTTTATTTTTTTTAACCCACTATATTTGGAGTTTGTTTCCATCTCTTTTTAATATTTTTTTTTCAGAAGCCTATGAAAGACCAGGGGACTTGAATTTTCCTCTGACCATTTTTCCTAAGGGATGGCCATTTTCATGTGAGCTAAGCAACACTATCTCTATTCTGTCTGCATGAGATAGTCATTCCACACCACACAGCTTCACTCTCCCACTTCACACTGGAGTACTGTCATCTGTATCCCCCTTATGCCTTAAATATATCAAAGACACAACCTTCTCCTAACTTCCTAAACTAGCTTACATGCATCACTGGTGTAGCCAAATGGGCCTATCCACTGAGGGAACACAGCAGGCAGGCAGACAAAGACACAGACACAGACACACACACCCCTGTACCATACAATAGTGGGACTAACACATGATACAGACCCTTAAAGAAATAGGCACCTGGTATCTCAGTCTATAAATTGTTCTTTACTAATTATTAGTTCATACCAGTAATAGTGAGTAAGTGCTTCAATGAAAATAATTTAACTCTTTTGATAATCATTTACTCACAGGGTATCTTCTCACAGGGTATCCTCTCACCCCAAACATTTTTCCTTCATATTGACAATCCCACTAAAATTACTGAGTAATTGTTTTTTTTTCCCCTAAATAGGACACGTCTTCAAGACATGCAGCATTATTTAATTCTGCCTTCTTCATTAAAGCATTCATTTATTCAGCACTCCTCTGTCAACAGATACTTAGCTTGCTGCCAGGACACCTTTGATGATTAAACATGATGGAATAAAAGAAAATCAGTGCAGGCCCTCCCTGGTGGCTCAACTGGTTAGGATGCAGCACTACAAGGTAGCCACAGCTGCTTCTGTGCAACTTTGATCCCTGCCCTGGAGGTGACCCACATGGCGAGGCAGAACTCTCCTGACCCAACCGCTACTCCCCTCAGCAGTGTACTTTGTGGATCTGCCTGTTCTGCTCCCCACTCTGTCTCTGGTGAAGCCTCGCACTGCTACTACACCTCTGGCTTGTACCCTAGTTCTGCATACATAAATAAAAATAAATCTTAAAAAAAAGAAAGAAAGAAAGAAAATCAGTGCAGACTCAGGAGGTCCTAGGTCTGACTCTATCCTCTGACCATGACTAAGTTCTCAAAGACACTTTGGGTTCAATATCTTTGTATACTAACTATCACTATAATTCTATTAACCTCATAATATTTTGAAAGATACAATGAGATTGTGCTTTTAAACATATCTGTGAAGTCTCAATCCCACCATTATCACCCATTACTTTTATTGTTAACGTGTTCATTCCTTTACCTGACGTATCATGGTTCTGGCCTCACTTCCAGAGCCTTGTGGCGCGGAATTCTCATCAGCAGCACTTGTGTCTGTGAGACAAAGGAAGCCACTGCACAGTTAGAGGCACAGTCACCAGAAAAAGCAGGGTAAATTGGTGAGAGTGGCAAGATGGGGGGAGCAAATGGCAAAGGCCTTCGAGACAAAGCACAAACAATGCAGCTTGCATGTGTCCACTGACTAGAATAAGGACCCGATCAGTGGAGGCCCCACAGGCGCTAAGCCACATAGGATTTCTGAAGAAATTAATGGCCTTCCAACAATGTGGCTTTACAGTCATTTTTAAAGCTGCTGCTGCTTTGTGGTTTTTTTTTTTTTCCTTAATCCAGCACACTATTAGGGTAATTATAGAAACTAGATGAAGGATGAGCAATTGGTATCTTAATAGCTTTTCAAACAGGTTTTTAAAATTTATATATGCAAGGTTGATATCTTTCTCAAACATGGTGTCACTCTGAATAAAATGAACTAAGAAGATGCACTTTTCATTTATGCCATCGCATTTGTGATTCCCCCGAAGTTCATCTACTTTATTTGTACTATAATGTGTTTGATAATGATTTTTGTCTTCAGATGATCCACTGTCCCGAATTTGGTTCAGAGCAGCTCAAAGATATGGAGCCACAGAAAAATCCAATTTTCTGCACGAAATTGTAGTTTTTCCTTAAAATTTAAAACAGATCATAGATGCATATGATCCTTAACTCAAAATATATGAACGTTTTAGAGTGATAATTTTCCTTTCTAGGTTTCTCTGGAAAACCTAGTTTCCCTCCCTGGAAACACTGCAATTAATTTTTGTCTTTTCTCCCAGAGAGATTTCACCTGTACAAAAAAAAATGTCATCCTAGTCTATTTTTCAAAAATGTAGCACCTTTTTGAAGACAGTAGTTCTTTGATGTCAGTGCACAAGGAAGCTTTCCTTATATATGCTGTATGGATGCATATCAATATTCCATCATATGATAGAGCCTTCCACTGAGTTACCTTGTTTCCAATATTTAATCGTTATAGAATTTTCAGAAACTGAATAATTATTGTATCACAGCACTCACACGTTAGCACAACAATTTACATTTCCTACAATCATGACTGAAAATTTCATTTTCCTTCACAGCCTTACCAAAAGGGTGATGTCAAATTGTTGTCTCTTTGCTGCTGTGACAGGTGAAAAGCCAGTGTCTCGTAGTTTTGGTCAATTTTTTCCTATTCAGTGTGAGACTGAGAATAAAGGTGTTTTTCAAGTAACCCCTTTCTACAATGTTCTAGCTACTCTACTTTAGTACTAACACCCGAGTTGAATGTCTTGTTAAGACAACAAGAATAACAGCTTTGTTTTCAGAGTTGAATGGCAGAAAAGGAACTGACGTCCCTTCGTGCATTCTTCTGCTCCCGATTTGACCGTGACCAACTGGTGCATCCTTCTGACCTTAATTAGTAGGTCCTCATTAAGATTCTGAGAATTTTCCATGCACATGACTTCACATCTGCACTACAGTTGAGACCCATTTGTGTTCAGTCCGTCTTCGCCATAAGGAACCATTTAAGTCCCATCAAAATATACTGTAACTTTAGTTCAATCTACATAATTGGGATTTAAAAAAAGGCAACACTATGATACATGGTCACCTATTTGGCAACCTTTCTCTAGGCCATTATCTTGAAAGTTCTTTCAAATGTTACCAACAGCTATGGAGGCCAACAGCAGCTTACAGATGTGCTTGTTGTTAGGATGGAAACTATGTTGAACCTCACAGCTTACCTCTGATCTTTATCACAGCAGAAGCTGACTGCATATTGTCCTCTTTCTCACAGACTGATTTACAATCAAGGTCACCAGAAGCCATCTTCAAAATTTCTGATCCAGCATCTAGCAACAGGAATTAAAAAAAAAACAAAAACCTGAATATTATGCAAATGGTGTTATCAGCCTGCATGTCCTTCCTACCCGCACACACCTCAGCAGATCCTAGGGCGTCACCTAAAGATTACAACTGACATCCATGCTTAGAGCCGCTCCAAGTCCAACTCACCACTGGAAGTCACTGCGCTCTCCGAGGGTGCAGTGTGGACAGAAGGAAGTGTGGCGTGCTCCCTGCCAAAAGAGTAGAAGAAATATCTTTGGGATGTCCAAAGAACGCTCTTGAAAATCAGCTGAACACACATACAAATGCACACGCACAAGCAGGCAGACCTGGACTGTGGCAGACTCCCGGAACACGAGTGGCCGACACCATCCTCCTTAAGAAAAAAAAAAAAAAAACAGGAGGGAAAAATTCAACAATCTGACATTTTCCATCCCAGAGAAAATGTTTTAAGCAAATATTTTCATACAAATTTAAATGAATCCATATTTATTTTGCTCTTTTGGAGAGAAGGTGGGGGGGGTGGAGAATGGTATAGGGCAGGTTGATATACATTCTCCCTTAAACCTGTACTTGCAAAAAAAAAATTCCAATTTTAAGGTACTTACAAGTCTGATATTTAAAGAAAACCTGATAAATTCTTGGGCAAAACAAATTCTAAACTGAAAGGGCAGGTAGAGTTTATTTCATGAACTTACGTCAAATTTTCTTCAAACAGAACATTCTGTGTAGGCATCAAACAACCTATTTACAGAAATGTTATTCAACCTCAAACTTTTGACCTGCTGGTTTAAAAATGGTGCTCCACTTTCTAGCTAGACAGATCATACAGTTTAAACCTAATCCAGTTCTCAAAGATGTGAGAGATTACATCTAAGGCAGCACCTATAATTGGTGCTCAAGAGAGCTTAATAAAACTGTGGTTCTGGCTGTCATGGCAAACAATTGAAAGTCTTGTTCAGAATGTTTACTCTCTATCAGGAGCTCCTAATTTGGGGGAACTATAGGACATTGGAGTAGATTAGTTCATTCACTCTCAAAAAATAGTGTGAACACAGGTTCCTTTATTCAAAATGTATATTTTTACTGTATGTGATATATTTAGGAAGATAAAACATAATAAAATTAAAAGCATTTGAATACATTAAAAGAAAAACCCACATGGACTTTGAAACATTTTATAATCAGACATCAACTAATTAATTCACCACCAGCAGCAACAGGTTTCTAAAGTGGAACATTTTACAACACCCGTAAGATTTAGAATCTATACAAGAAAATACTGACTGCAGTGAGTCAGTACCAGCAGCAACAGGTTTCTAAAGTGGAACATTTTATAACACCCGTAAGATTTAGAATCTATACAAGAAAATACTGACTGCAGTGAGAGAAAGGTAAAGGGGCTGCACAAGTTTGCTGAATATGCAGTCACCCAGAATAACAGCAGCAGCTTACATCTGTTTGGTGTGAGAATATATAACTCCTTGTATGTATCACATTTATTCTCCCAACAACATTACACAGTGAGTTTCAGCAAGATTAGCTTGTGTTCAGGTAAGGAGAGTAAATCAATAACTAATAATTGCCCAGAATAATTCAGAAGGTGAAGCCAGATTGTGAAATGGATCCAAATAAATCCAGAGTTGTCTCCAGAGTTAATAGAACCACCTCTGAAACATCCTATTGCAAGTACTAGAGAAACAGATATAGCTGCCTGATTATTGGCTGCGTTGGGCAAAGGACTTAACTTTAAACTTTTGGAATGTTCACCTCAAAACAAAAAAAGCCACCACCTTGCAAAGCAAGAGTTTACACTGACTCTCCCCCACCCCCGCACTGACAGTTGTGGGCAATCTCTCTCTGCCCCATCTCATCACTTAAGTGCATTTAGATCAGACCACATGGGACTGAAGGAAAACCCTGGTACCCTCAGTTTAATTCAACAACTTTTATCACAGACCTTCTTTTGCTCCAGAAAGAGCTTGTGACACAAAATACAGTCCTGATCCAGAGCCCCTGATAGGCCAGTCACTGAGACAAATACTGAAACAAACGCTTTACAGAGCAGAAGCAGCACTGCCCAGAGCCCAAGG